GACCGAGGCCAACACACAAATATTCTCATATCCCTCCACGAATCAGGGGATGAAAATGAACGGACTCATTCCCATCCCACCCAATTTTATGACCACACCACTTAATTTCACGGTCCTGCCCCTAARCGAGGCCGATCAGTGCYAAGCTTTCCTCGCAGGRACAGAGCYGGATTTTTTAGGATATTTTGCTCCCAGCCGTACCAAACCCATGCCCACCCCAAGCCCTTCAATCTGCAGGAGAAAAAGGCCCCGTTTTTTTTACCTTTCCTCTGTGCTCCCTGGCATCGAGTCTCCGCAGGGCTTTCATGCGCTCTGCCGCCGCCAGCGCGGGGACCCGCAGCCCTTTGGCTGCGTAAATGTGCAGAATTCTAAGACAGCAAATAGAGACACCCATCACTGCTGGGCCACCAGCCATCCTGGGGGCAAACAGATTCACATGGGAGCACTGCCACTGTGGGGGTTTTACACTCAGAGTTCCAAAAATCCATGCCACGAACCCCAAAATGTCCCATTCACACGGGAAAAGCTTCCTACCTCAAGCAGTGGCAGTGTCCGAGAGCCCCGAGCACTGCTGAGCTCTGCCACGCTGCCTCCTTCCCCCTCCAGAACCTTCTTTCTGCTGAGATTCGCCACTGGGAGGTATCAAAGTCCTCCAGAATTGCCAGTTTGGGGAATTGTGTGGAAATTATCATTTTCGGGGTGATACAGCCCTGGGTGTGTGGGTGAGATCTTACCATCTGGGGTAACAACCCCTCCTTAACTGATTTATTTAAATTCTGATCTTTATCAAAACTCTTGGTGAGAGGGACCCAGCCCTTGCATTTTGCACAAGACAGAATTGTCACAGCCCATGGCAGCTGCTGGTGGCCCTACAGTGATGGGAAAACATTTCTGTGCTTCACTTTGGTCACCCAGCTCTGGCTGGAGCCACTTCCACTCCCCCAAATCCTCCTTGCCAGGAGATTCCAATCCCCTGGAACATGAGGAGACCACCCCACACACTCCCACACCAGTCCCTGGCTTCATTCTGCTCCAGACAGAAATATCTGATGCTTTTCAGACAGAAGGTGGTGCGCATTTGCTCCTCTCCTCGAGTAATTTTGTACCCCAGAGCAGCCCCTCGCAATTTCAGGAAGTGGAAATACATTTTTCTGGCTAATCTGATTTTCAGATTTCTGATTTTTCAAGCTCAGCATAAGCTGTGGCTGCACACCCACACATCCCCAGGGGTGCCAGGAGAGGATAAGAGAGAKTCAAACTGAGGATTGCTGCAGGAAATGCCTCCAGGCCACAGCTGGATCGTGGAATTCCTCCTCAGTCTGCGCAAAGTGCAAAATTGGCACCAAGTCTGACAGCTCATCTCTGCTTCCAGCCTGTACATCTATCATTGAACTAATTGCTAAASCAATGCTTGGGGGTAGGAAATAAAACACTCTAGGCATAGCAAAGTTACTGTAGAACTTTATTGGGAAAAAAAAAAAAGGAATTTGTCAGAACAACCCAGAAAGAAATGATGGAACAGTTTCATCTTTGTTTTATGTTCACAAACAGAATTGACATACATTGGAGTGAAAGGAATTGAAAAGCAATCCCAGCAACCACAAGGTTTCATTCACAACTGCATTATCCCAGTTTTAGCTGGGGAATGGCTCTGGACTTTATAAAACTGGAGGAAGCAGTGGTGAACCAAGCTCCTTCGAATTAATTTCTTTGCTGGGTTTTTCTGCAAATTTAAGCCACTAATTTCAATGCAGACCTGAACTACTGCAACTTTCCAACGACTTTGTGATCACTCACAGGATCTAGTGCTCATGGCGTCCAGATTTGTCAATATTTAATAAAAAAAAAATACTCTTGGAAAGCCTTTAAGACTTTCAACCTGAATTTTCAGTCCTCACCCAGGCACAAACTGCAAGGCCACTTCAAATATTGCCTGGGGGGCAACTGAACTCCAGGTAATAAAGCATCCAAGGAATTATTTTACAGTTAGTCTTGCAAATAATAAAATCACCTAAAAATCCTGGGCTTTAGCAAGCAGAAAAACCCAGAGAAATTGTGTTCACCAGCGAAGAGCCTCTCGCTTGTCAAGGAAACAATAAACAGGGTTGGAAGGGGATGTATTTCTTGGAATGGATTTGCCTGTGGTACAGCACTCCTGAATATTTACAGGKGCATCAGAGGGAAAAGTCAAGCTGCTCATTGCCCAGGAAAGGAAATCAGAGAGCCATGAAGGGAYTGTGTGCACCCCTGGGCCTGGGGAGCCTCCCAAGGAGAGCTCACTAAAGSTCCCTGGCTCAGCTTCACGCTCAAACACTGCAGAAAAGCGAAAATATTGCCAAAGAACAGCAATGCCATGGATTCCTTGTTGGGCTGCAGTCCAGATTTTGGAAAATCCCTGTCTTCTCAATGATCTCRTGATACAGGGCTGTGAATTACAACCCTGACTCAGACGAAACTCCCAGGGAGTTCAGCAGGACCAGGATTTGTCCGCTGGCAGAACAGGCAGCGTTACCAGCCAGCCACTCAATCAGCTCCACGCTCAAATTTGGATATTTCAGAGCCCCAAATCATTTCAGAGCTAAAAGAACAAACCCAGCCCGCTGCTCCACGCCTGGGTTCCAGTGCCAGGCAAGGTGAGACCTTCCATTTAGCCCTGGGTGGCAATTCCAGGGTTCTATCTGCTCTGCCAGCAGGGATTTCTGATTGCACTGGCATTTTGTTCGGCTTTATCTTCAGACTGCTGCATCTACTCTGGCAGGACAAAGCTACACTGCACATTTCCCCAATTTCCAAAGGATCAGCGAAATTTAGGAAAGAAAAACATCGATTTAGGTCCCCCAAATGTTTTTGAGCGACCTAAATCTGGTAGGAATTCCTCCACGGGCAGGTCAGAGACACACAAACGAGGCATTTACATGAAAGCAGCTCATGAACCGGGGTTTGTCAATATTTAGAGGCAACTGAACCCTCTCCAAATGTTACAGTAGGCCATGGCTGGGCTGGAATCGGTCAGTTTGAGGCCACGAGGGTGAAAGTCACCTGGTGCTGGTGCGGGCAGAGCCCAAAACCTGCCCAGGACAGGCAGCAGGAGCTGGACCAGCGGAGGAACCTCACACCGGGCACCAGGACAAAGCGAATTTCACTCCCGCACAAATCACCAAAATCGCACATGCCAAAATCCCCACCCTGCTATCCCCCTCCCTGCTCCAAACCCACTGAGGGGCTGCGTGGGGGCACTGAGCAGGTGAGGAAGGTGCAGCCTAAAGGCCCTCGACAGACAGAGCGTGGCTCAGAACGTACGTATCACTGTCCTCATCCTCCAGCAGCAGCCGCTCGATGGGCAGCGCACCGATGGCTCTCCGGGCATCCTCCAGCTCCTGCGRGGCTGGCTCGGGGATGGACACGGGCACGGGCAGCAGCTGGGGTGTGGGAAGGGTGGAAGGGGCCGGCTGGTACTGCAGGGGTGAGGCTGGCACGGCGGGCAGGGGTTGTGCCCATGGGAAGTAGGCGAGGGGCGGCTGCGGCTCCGTCACCTCCAGCGGCGGCACCACGGCCGGGGGAGCGCTTCGGGGCTGGGAGAGGGGAGAAAGGGGAAGAGGGGTAAATGGGGGGAAAGGATGGAATGGGAGGAATGTGGCAGAATGGGAGAAATTGGGGAAATGGGAGAGACAAGGGAAAATGGGAGAAACACAAAGAGAAATAAACAGGAGAAACAACAAAATGGGAGAAACATGGCAAAATGGGAGAAACGCGGCAAAATGGGAGAAACACCCATAGAAATAAACAGGAGAAACATGGCAAAAGGGGAAAAACACAGCAAAATGGGAGAAACACCCATAGAAATAAACAGGAGAAAAAAATGAAATGGGAGAAACACAACAGAATGGGAGAAACATGGCAGAATGGGAGAAACATGGCAAAGTGAGGGAAACGCAAAGACAAATAAATGGAAGAAACATGGCAAAAGGAGAAAAACACAGCAAAATGGGAGAAACACAGCAAAGTGAGGGAAACACAATGAGAAATAAATGGTAGAAACACAGAAAAACGGGAAAATCATGGCAAAATGAGAGAAATGCAGCAAAATAAAACAAACGCGACAAAACGAGACATTGAGCCAGGTGGGGACCCAGCACAGGTTGGGGATGTTTATCTCACTCCCAACATCCTTCTCCCTCCTCGCTGTGTGAAGGTGACACTTTTCCCTTGTCCCATTCTCACTTTCCTCAGGCTTCCTGCAGCTCTCTGCTCCCATCCCACCCTCGGGTGACCCTGGCACACCCTGGGCTGGGCACTGTCCCCTGGGCACTCACGTCTTTGTTGCCATCAGGGCTGAAGGCGGCTCCTGGTGGCCTCTGGACCAGCCCAAGCAGAGCCACATCCCAAACCCATCCGTGGCCTTTCCACAGGGGAGCCCACAGGACACAGAAATGGCCTTGGGGGATCGGCTGSGTCTGCCAGAGCAGCCAGGCTGACACAGGGAAAGCAAAATCAGAGCTCTCTGCCCTTCCCTGAAGGGGACCAGATCATCCTGCGTCAGCCAAACTGATTTTGTCTGGCCCTAGGCCAAATATTCTCCTCTCTCTGCATGGCTTGACCTTGCTCATCTATCCTTAAACAGCARCTTTGGAGGAATTTCTTGCCAAGTCATCCTTCCTGCTCCACCTTATTGATGAGTTTCCTGGAACCCCATTTACATTTTTTTTTTAAATTTTAAGCTTGGAAATCAATAGTGAAGAATCCCTGCTGTGTAGAGAGCTGGGAAAAGGCTGTGAATTTTGCATGATTCCAGCAAAACCACAACAACTTTTTTGCCCTGCCCAAACCGTGTCACTACCCAGGAAAACGATGTGGCGTGGACGCAAAGACMCACAACCTTATAAAAATTCAATAAATAAAACTGACTCCACCCCACGGCTCTTGCTAGAATGTGGGAATAAACGACATTTACAGCTTGGTGGTTTTGACTTACAGCAAAGTTGGTGATGAGAGGCTGGGAGGTGTAGGTGAGCACGGACGAGGGTCCCACCAGGGTGTAGCTGGGGCACACGGGCTGCACGTACATGTCTGCTGTGTAGGGACAGCTGCCAGCCTCRTGGGCCACGTAGTCAGGGTAGGGGCTCCACTGGGCCAGGGGCTGCAGGGGGGTGCCAGGGGGCTGGGAAATCCACCCCGAGGCCAGAGCTCCTTCATCGGGGCCAGGCGGGGCTGGGGCAGCAGCGTCCATGTCCATGCAAGGCTGGCCTGGAGAACAGGACAGGGTTAGAGCCTGGCCCAGCCCAGCTCAGCTCAGCTCAGCCCAGCCCAGCTCAGCCCAGCTCAGCTCAGTCCAGCCCAGCCCGGCTCAGCTCAGCCCAGCCCAGCTCAGCTCAGCCCAGCCCTCCCTGAAGAGCCACAGAGAATCAGGGACACCTTACCCATGGGGGAGTAGGAAGGGAGTGGCTGGTGGGGCAAAACAACCTGGAAAAGAGAAGAAAAGAATGAAAATCAGAGGAGAAGTCCATCAGCACTAAATTCCATCCCTTAGAGGAGCAAAGGGACAAATCATCTCTGGTGTTATCAGGTGATGGTCAGTGCCAGTGTCTGAATGTTCCCACCCCACACAGGGGCCAGAGCTGAGCTGGCAGCAGGACCCACCACCCCAAGGGAACCTTGGAGTGTGTTTAAATCTTGTTTTGAAAAGGGAATAGCTCTTCAGAGAGGAGCCAGCCAACCTGCAACCTCCTGGGAGAGCAAACGCAGGGGGAATGGAGCAGCAAAAAGCCAAGGATGGCTCTGGCTGAGCCCTTTCACACTCGTGGACAAGATCCCTCCCTTCCAAGCCCGTTTCTGTCCCTGGGGATCAGATCCTGCCCAGTGCAGAGCATTTTCCCTTCCCTTGGAGCGATGGATGTGCTCAGCATTATCAGCACTGCCATTTAACAGCAGCGCCTTCCAAACCCTTCAGGATGCCAACATCTCCACCCCTGCCAAAGCATCGCTGGGTCTGGGCAATCTCTGAGCTCCCGAGGGAGAATTCCCCTCCTGGGTTTGTTTTTTTTTTTTCTCTCTCTTACCGTTGCAGCTGCAGTGGTGCTGGAGTTGTGGGCATTGCCCCTTTTCCTCCTCAGCAGTTCCTTCACCGGCTCCTTCACTCGCACTCCTTGGTAGGGCCGAGGCTGTGGCTGCTGCTCTGGAGCAGAGGCTGAGGAAAAATTAAAAAAAAAAAATGCAGGTGACTTTTAAATTCCCTTCAGGGAGCCCAGTGGCTGTGCCAGGAGCACATTTATTTATTATTTCACTCCTCTTTCCTTTGTGTTCCTCAGTGTCACTGACCTGCAGAGCAGCTTTACACACCCCCAAAAGGAAAATGAGAGCAATTWTACCCAACAGGGGACAAAACAGAACTGTTGGCCAGGCGGGGACATAAAAAARTAGAAATCAGATATTTAAAATAAATATATTCACTGTTTAGGCACAAGACATGAAGGCAACACAAGTTAGGAAAGCATCCTCATTTACACATTTTTAGTAAGACTTCAATATCTCATTTTAGACATCTTAAGTTSGACTTAAATGTTTCATTTAGACATCTTAAGTTGGACTTAAATATCTCATTTTAGACATCTTAAGTTGGACTTAAATAKCTCATTTAGACATGTTAAGTTGGACTTAATTAAAGTTTAATTCTCCATAAAAGCATCCAGAAGGGTTTTTAATGCAACTCACGTTTTGCTTTTTCAATTTAATTGGTATTAATTTATGTGAGGGCAAATAATAAAGAGTTCTGGTGTTTTTGGTGCTGCGTGAAAACGGCAATTCCACAATTCTGAGCTCTGCCAGAGCTGCTGGAAAGGCAGAAATGAACATTTTGGGGAGTATCTCATCCCCAACTCRAATTAGGGTGGGGAAGGATGGTGGTTTCTGGCTCCAGGTTTGGGGGATGGGAAAGAAGAAATTTACTGTAAAAGCTGACAAATATACCTATTGAGAGTTTCCGGTGTAAGCAGAGTAACCAAAAAAAAAAAAATAAAGAGAAAAAAAACAATTTTTAAAAACCAAAGTCTGCACATCTTATTTCGGTTCCCCCAAGCTGACCTCCAGAAATAAAAATAATGCTTGCACAGCTGCTTTTCCACTGCTCTGGGGGGTGTGGGGTCTGAGCACCACAGACAGAGCACAGCAAAATGAATTTGGGGCTTCAGGGTGCGATTCCTGCTCGAGATAAAGACACAAAGTCATTTACAAATATCAGCGTTTGGAGAAAAAAAATGATAATTAAATATCCCTGGAAAGGAAAGGTTGGGATTTAGTYATCTGCAAGTCCTTAGAGCAAGGTTTTAATAAACTATGAAGGCYGCTTTGGACTGGGATTTAATTCTATTTTAATTTGTCATGACAGCCCAAATTCTGTTCAATAAAATTCAAGGAATTGCAGCAGCATCCTGGCTTTTCTCCTGCAATTCAGGAGTGCAGAATGCCYGTCTGCTGTTCCTCTGAAACACCCCAAGCCAGGAAAGAAGAGAAGAAATCCCAGTTTAACCAGTGAGGAGGGAGCTCTGCAATGGTTTCCACATTTTATTCTTGCAGTGTTTTATCCAGGCTGCCTCCCAGCCCCAGCTCCCTCCATCAATGTTATCACCTGATTTATTTGCTGAACGTCCACAAAGGTTTGTGAAAAACCTTTCAAAGCGGCTGCTGGGCAGCAGAGCTGCTGGARAGGCACCAAATGCAGCCCCAAAAGCTCTCAATGACAGCAGCAGGAGGATGTTGGATCCCAGACCAACCTTCAGGCTTCAAATCTGCCCAAACTGCCCCAAAAAAAGACCCCACGGGATCAGTCACCCCTCGATTTATGCAGATTCAGACTCTGGTTCTCAATAAAATCTATAAAATAATGATCTGAGTCAAAGTCCAGGCAGACAAAACACATCCAGACATGGCCAAAAAACTAAAATTCAACCTTCCCYTGCATTTTGGCAGAAAGAGGAGGGAAGAGCAGCTGCTGGAAGGCTGCGGGTGCCCAAGCGTGGCGAGTTTCAGATCACTAAAGCTCAGCCCAGCCCGAGCTCAGCGCGGTTTCAGCCCCCCAGCCCAGGCAGAGCCATTTCCCAGCAGAAATTTGAGTCTGAATATTTCTGTGCTCTCACSCTGACAGGTGATAATCTTATCCACTGCTCACCGTGAACAGGGAAAATATTTTTTCCCTTTTTTCTCTTCTTTCGCTTCCAGTGTTGTAAATAATTGAGGAGAAGCACAATAGAAAAGTTTCTCTTGTTTRCTGTAATGCCAGAAAGCGATCGCTGGCTGCGAATAGCAAGAAAAATTCAGATTTCAAGCAGAAAAMTCCTGAGTTAATGGCTTGGATATTGGAGATTAAATCACATTTTTATCAGCCACTGTGAACTTTGGCTAAAAATAAGAAAGAGGCTCATTTTCATGGCCTTGGATGCTTAGAGCCAAATGAAGTCCATTGCAAGGGACTCAACATTCCATTGTGGTCATTATCCTGTCATTATTCCCTGACTAATTACACATTTTCCTTCAAAAAAAACCAGGCTGATCTTTATCTCTGCTCCATGGTCAGTCCAGGGCAGGGATAGAAAGCGCAGAAATGCATTTGGTTGCCCAAAATCTTAGATAGTGACCTGACAGCGAGAAGATTTCAGTAAAAATCTCATTTCAGCTCCATCCCTATCCCTCAGCAGCCTTGAGGCTGTCCCTATTTTAATGAATAAATCCCTATTTTAATKAATAAATCCCTACTTTAATAAATAAATCCCTATTTTAATKAATAAATCCCTATTTTAATTAATATTTTACTTGATCCAAACAACAGTTCAAGGTGAAACGCTCTGACATGACCCACCTGTAATTTCAGCCCTTGGAAACAAATACCCAGTTATTTTTACCCAGATTCATCAGGATTAGCCTTAGATTCAGGCAAATCCATGTGCCTTGTGCTGTTTTTGAGGAATATTTTTGACAAATTGTGCTTTTAAAAGGTTCCCTTCATATCTGAAAGGATCTAAATGAGAAGGGAGAATTGTGCAGAGCTTGAATTCTATTCCCACTCCAGGCAGGAATTGCAGATCAACAATTACAGCGTGAATTTTGGATTTTTTTTCCACTTGGATAGAAACAAAAATAAAGGCAAGGCACAAAACTCTGGCGAATCCCTTCTGCTTTGATTATTCTAATTAAAAAAAAAATTAAAATAAAAGCTCCCAAGTGCCAGATGAGAGCTGGATGCCTGTGCAGTGGTGAGGASGACTAAAATTCACCCGTTTCAGAATCAGAAAAGCCCTGGCGCAAAGGGGAAGCTGAGATAGACAGAAAGTGCCTTTAACCATCAGTCTCACCCTCCCAGCCCATAATACTCTTTCCATTTTAGTAACTCAGGCTTTTCCATCGAATTGCTGCTGTTGTCATTCGTAGAGCTCCACACCTGCTCTGCAGAGCCTCGGGGTTGGTGTTATCCCTCTGTCCTGGTGGGGTTTTTTACCAAAATCGTCGCTCAAAAGGTGCAGAACGGAGCGGTTTCGCCTCTCGGTCTCATGAGATGACACTTTCAGTGCAGCCCCACATCTGGGGAGGGCAGGGAAGGTTTAGTGATCATTTAAAATTTGTTTGGGAAGGGATTTGAGAGGTTGTCTTGGTGGGAGAGGGAATTTAAAGAGGTTTGAGTTCCCGTCTCTCGGTGGTGGAGGGAATTTGAGWGGCTGAATCTCTGCTGGTGACTGAGCACCCAAAAAAACCTTCAACACAGGCAAAATCAGCACTGAAATAGGAGATTTGTRCAGAATTCCCCAGAATTAGGCTGGGAAAGACCTTTGAGATCATCCAGCCCATCYTGCTTCTGTTTTTCAGAACAGGAACCGTTTTCATGGAAGGTGCATTTGGGTTGTTTCCAAAATTCGGGATGGAGGTGACAATAAAGATGARTTCAGAGGAAACAGCCGGTGCTGCCCATGGATTTCCCACCCCTAAAGAGCTGCTGGGTCATCTCCAGAGCAGCAAAATCCTGGAGAGCCCTGAGCAGTTCCTTCCCTGGGCTGTGGGAGTGGAATTTTTTGGGCTGAGCCACCCTTGGGGTTTTGCTGATGGAAGGACCCCGATCCTGCAGAGGAATCACGGTTTTGTGAGCCTGGGAAACATTCCCAAACTTGCAGGGCCAACCAAGAGAGGCTCCTGTGGGGTCAGAGCATCCCAGAATATCAGAAAAGGGGCTCAGACCCTCCCAGAATGGCAACAAAAGGGCTCAGCTTTCCTTGGGGTCCTGCAGGAATGGCCCCTGAAGGAGCAGGAAACCTTCAGATTTCCCTTTGAAACGCCCTCAGCTGCTGCTTCAGGGATTTCTGGTGTCACTTTTGGGTTTTCACAGATTCAGAGTTGGGAAGGACCCACAGGGATCATCCAGCTCTGCAAGGAGTGCCCAAAATAGGACTGAACCCAAAATCTTGGTGTTATCAGCGCCAAATGAGTCAAATCTCGGGGTTTCAGTTTGAAAGGTTCCCAGGTCACCTGAGMTGCTTCTGCAGCAGTTTCTGTTCCAGAGCAGAGCCACAGGTCCCATGTGGGGACAGGAGAATCCTCGGGGTCCCAGGTGGGGCAGGACACGTGAGGTGACAGCTGCTCCCACTGCTGGGGACAGCGGTGACACCAAACAGGGACCAGGGAGCTGCTGGGAACCCCAAMTTCCACTGAAATTTGTGGGATTGGGCACGTGGAGACCTGCACTGAGCTCAGGGATCCCACATGGGATCTGTCTGACCCAAAGCCACCCCACAAATGGTGTGGAAAAGAAGCAATAATGAGATTTACGGAGTTGGAAGAGGAACTCTGTTACAAAAATAAGGAGATTCAAGGGTGAGGAAACTCAAGAAATGTTGGCCAAGAGTTGTCTCATCTAGAAATTCTCATCAAGGAATTGCAGACTTAATTTGACCTGAAATCCCTGCTTCCCTTTGAGCACTGMAAGTGTCGAGGAAAAAAAGGAAAAATAAAAACACCAATTCATTCCCAGTTTCCTCCTACCTAAAACRTTGCTTTGTCACTGCAGGAATAAAGAAAAAACAACCCAAAAAAACATTCCTGGACTTGTGAGAGGGAAGACCAGATTCAGGGTTTGGGTGTGATCATTTTGCAGCATTTTCCACATCTTCTCCCTGAAAACTGCTCAAAGTGAAGGGGGAAATAA